AGCATATATATATACAGTGACCCCTCCGTTAACGAACTCAATCCGTTCCAGAAGGTCGTTCGTTAACCGAAACCATTGTTTCAATGGGTTTTTGGGTAATTGGTTCCAGCTCACCGAAAATTTCCTAAATTCAACAAAAATGGTAGAAAAGTTCACTTACTTTGAGGTGTGTATGTAGAAGGCTCCTGGATGATGATGATGGGAATTAGAATGGGGGTGGAGGAGAAGGAAAAGGAGAAGGCATTGGGGTGGAAGAGAAGTCACCCCATGGCGCCATTTCACCCATAAAATTTTAGTTCTCTTGGTGTATTTCAAGATTATTTTCTTTAAATCAACACTGCACTGCATTATATATTGTCAATATGTAAAATATATTTCAAAATGACCAATAATTTGCTTGGAAACACAGAAAAAAAGCGTTTAGTTGAAGAGAGTCTCAAGCAAGATGTTACCTCCAGTGAAAACAGAGAGAGACTAACGCCTGTTTGCTGTGTTAAGAGGCTGGATGCCGCGCATTAAACTAGTCACTTTACCTTCAATTATGTTCAATAATTGTTAAAATGACTAAAAAATTGAATATTAAACTTTTAAAATTATTGAATAGTATAAACTTCTTGATATTTACTAAAATAGTAAGGAATTTAAGCCCTAGAACCGATTAATGTATTGGCGGACTGATACTAAAGCTGGTTGCCTGGTCAGTGCAAGCGAAAACATGTTGAGGACGGTTCGTAAGAAACTCGTTAACCGAATTTTTGTTCGTTAACCGAATTGAAGATCCTTATGGAAGGCAGTTCGTTAACCGAAATTTTGTTAACCGAGGCGTTCGTTAAACGAGGGGTCACTGTACCTGTACAGTATATTATTCTCTTATTGATATTTATCTTCTATATTATGTGTGTGTCCATACCATCATAAAATTAAGATGTTATTTTTACTACAACGTACATATTGTGTCGGAAAAAGTGTAGTCTGGGGGTCGGCCCAGTCTCTATTTCAATTAATCCCATATGTTCTGTTATTTCGTTTACGCGGACCTCCACGGGTTTAATTGACCGCGTAAATCGAGACTATACTGTACTGTAGATTCATCAAATTATAGTGAGCAGCAACTCAGATTACAGAAATGACATGAAAGAGTAAGGAACAAATGGTTGAACAAAGATGTACAGTCAAGAATGGCTACACCAAACTCTTAGGGATGCATAAAAATGTTAATGAGTAATACTGACCTGAATGTACTGTGGTCGCTGGACTATCTGTGATTGAGTCATGCTTTGTCCAATGTAGCCACCTGGCTGCTGTTGTCGTAATCCCATCATAGTGGGATTAGTTTGATAGCCTCCCTGGTAACCCTGACCCATTACAGGTATACTATTAGCTGGGCCTCCAGGACCTGTAGGGACGGTAGCCCCACCTGGACCTTGACTCATCATTTGTCCACTAGCCATGGGGCCTTGTTGATATGATCCATACTGTGCCAAGCCAGCTTGGGCAGGTCCACTTGGACCACCTGGAGGTCCACCTGGCCCTCCACCACCCATGCCTGAGTACATCTGACTTCCTTGGCTGTGCATACCTTGCGGCATAGGGCCGCCTGGCATAGCTCCACCACTGCTGTACATAGATCCTTGCTGAGGACCTGGAAGACCTCCTCGCAGTCCAGACCTATGATAGAAAAGACCAGTGAAAGATGGAAAACTTTACAGATACTTATGGGAATGGAATGGAATATCACAAACATTATAAAAAAAAAATAGTGACAAAATAAACGAGAGGAGAGAGTTTCTAAAATGCAAGTTCATATATACAGTATTTAAAGAAAAACTATCTGAACAACAATAGACATGATAGAAATAATAATAAAAAGGAATAAACATATTGATTCTATACCTTACTCAGTTTGGGACAGTCAAAAAGAGATAACTAGATAAGTAATGAGCTGATTAAAATATGTACACAAAAAATTCTTAATGAAAAGAAAAAGATAATCTATGCCAGGGTGTCCATGACACTCACTTTACCAGGTAAACTTTATCAGCATCATGCCCTTTCTTTTCTAATGTTTACACACAAATTACAACTAATAATTTCTATACCAAATACAGGTATAATTCACATTTGGTACATAATAAAATGAAGATGTTATTCATGTAATTAATGGTATTATTATCAACACAAATGAAATTACCTTATTATAGGTCCCTGACGTGTTAAACTAGTGATAGGTCCAGGAGCCATATTCGTAAACCCTGCATTACTTGGATGACCCGTTATCATTGCCGGCGGTCCACCTGGGTGGCGTTGACCTAGCATTTGTCGTATTGCTACTCGACTATTTGAAATGGCTGACTGGAATCGAGCGCCACCAGCTACCAAGAAAAAATATAAGTTTTATAACAATACAGTACTGTAAACACTTTTCTTCACAAATGAAATACATTCATAATAAATACGAAAGCTTCACATACACATATAGGAAAGATTCTCAATAATATTTATACTGCACCCAGGAACTTGGGATCAATCTTTAAGGTGGTGTCCTGAATACAAATTACCTTTCAATGTGGAAGGATTTTTAAGCAATGCATCTGTGCAACATTAATAAAAATTAGCATTTTGTCACACCAAAGTCAATAAGTACATTTTCATGAGGCTGCAGTTTGATACAAATACCTTACTCCAATATTTCCCACATTTTACTGAGTAATCAAAATAAAATTTTTACTTTATAATAAAATCACATAATTTTGATAGTAGTCATAGGCTTCTTTGCAATTAAAATATAAATTAACACTCTCACGCACCTCGATGCTGATATCCACATTCATGTCAACCTTGTCCAATTGGCACTGATGCCATTTTTGCATCACTCAACAGAAAAAACTTCAACCAAATCAAGTAATTATGATTGACGCGTGAGGTTTTGGTGAGTCACTCCTCGAACCATTCTCACTCACGGTAATCGAACACTAATTAAATACAGTATGTGGCAACCCCTCCCAGCATGAGCTTTGTGCACTTCAGTAGTCTCCCAGCAGTCCAGCTGGCATGTGCTGTGGACATTCCTTATAAATTTTCTCCCATTGTCTCTCCCACACGTTCCGGCCCTCCATTGAGCAATAATATCGCCTGCAAATTTGTTAATAAAGTATTTATAATTTTTATAAAATTAATTTTTTGTTTATATTTCACTGATTCAAATTTGTAACCCTTGTTTGTGTATGAATTGCTGGGGATGAATTTTATTATTCTAATATTGCTGACAGGCAAACCGTACATGATCGTACATGCTATAAAACCACTTTAACATACCTACACACTTATACTAACCAATGAAAAAAAAAAAAAAAAAAAAAGGCGTAGTGGGGCCAAACGAGAGAGGGCGATATGCCATAAAAAGTAGTCCGTGATGACGCAAAACAACGTAGTATCGGATCACCGGGACGTTAAAAAAATTTTTGGTCTCTAAAGTTTAGCGACGTAGTACCGAAACAACGTTAAGCGGGCAGACGTTAAGTGAGGACTACCTGTAATAATAATGTGTTTAAGTAAGCAATAACATAATTTTAATTCTCACATTCACCTAGGTAGAATTTAGTCTACTGGAGACAGCAACTGAGGGATTCATTAGCCTACGGGAGACCGCAACTTCACATATAGGATGAAGAACGAGATTTTGAGGCATTTTTCAGACAAAGAAGTGCATCTTATATGCTGTAAAATACGGAACAAGTTGAGTGTATTGAAAATTGCAATACTACATGACTTCACATCGTCAAAATTATTTCTTCTTTTTTATTTTTTCACTTTTTTCTTGTTTTGTGTGAAAGAGCAACCAATTGTATTAAGAAAACACCTAGTTTTATAAAAAAAAAAGGACAGATTGCCCAAAAAATCCCCCCCCCCCCTCCACACACACAAAAAAGATAGAAAGATGCAACGTGGTTCTTCCATGCAAGAAGGTCAGAACTAGCCTCATGCGAGGGAGGGTAGTTGCTATAAATGAGGCGGTGCGCAAGAGTGTTAATGAACATATAATCAGTTCAAACTTTGGCTCTTTTTTTTAATAAAAAAAAAAAGAATATTTTAAATCATATTAAATTTTAAATAAAAGAAAATATATCATGTCCTATCAATGCATTCACTTTTTTGTGGGCATATATAAAACTATACTGCACTAGACATGTTAGTACTGCAGTAATTTCAGGTAACCAAAAATAAGTATTGCCACCCTTGCAAGACAGTTGTAATGACTGGAAGAGAGAATAAGAATTAGAAATAAGGTTTTGTGTCTCAGTCTCTCAGTCACAGGTAATAATTTCTTTTCCCTTCCTTTAAATCCTACTTCAGAGGAATAATTCAAATCTTGAATGGGCTTTTAAATAAAGCCACAATGTAGGAAGAACATCTTACACAAGTGTCCTCAGCACTTAAAAGAACCAGAAAACTACTGTAACATTTTTCAAACTCGTACAGAAGTAAAATTGTTGATCATAAATCTTCTTGAATCTTCAGTATATTTCTTGAGTACAAATCACAAATTATAACTAACCCATAATGAATTGGGTGTAAGCAGTCTGAACAAAGTAATGTACTTTCACTTTGATTAATGGAGAGTTATAGGTTCACACACAACATGCCATCCATGACCAATCTCAACACCCACATCAACTCCCACTTAACCCAGTGTAGCAAAAGCAGCAAAAAAGCAGTTCTGTAAGCCATGTATTAGGGTCATTAAATATGCAATTACTGTGAAAATAATACCTTCCGCAGACTCATTGCTACTGGTTTTAATATTAAACTCTGTTCCTGTCTTCACTGGAGCTTGGTCATCACTCTTTTTCGTGTGTGCATTGTTAGCATTTTTATTAAACCTTGCTGTAAGATGCCAAGGTTCTGTGGAAACAAAGAGAAAGAATAATTTATATATATAAAAGATGCAATCATGCCAGGCCAACTATTAAACAACTCACCACACTTTATGAAAAAGTTATTCTGAAAAACTGAGACCCGCATCAAAATTGCTCCATATTGATGAAGCTGTGAGTAATTAATTACTTAAGTCACCTTTGGTAACTAAATGTTTTTCTGTCACTACGCTAATTTTTTTTTGAGAGCTAAACAGGTTAACCAATTATAGATGAGATTACTCCAATCCAACAGAACTGGCATGAAAACTGACAAATCTCATTTAATTAATGGGCCAGTAATTGATATGATTTGATGCCACTTCTCTCCAGTATAAACAAAAACTTAAATTTCTCTCTAGATCAAAGAGTACTAGACTCAATGTAAAACAGCACATCGGGATGAGCTTTAAAGATTTAGTCGTCAGTTCCACCTATGTTACACAACTCATTTCTACTACGTATATAAAGTATGTGGGTGAAATAAGAACTTGTATTTAGCATTTACCAAAATCAGTGATTGTCTCAATTCACTCCACACCTAATATCTCTTTCTCTCAAACAAACACATCCACAATTTTTTCCATACCCTTTCACGTTCTCAAGGACTGCTCCTCAACATCGTCACTAACTTTCTCACTTCTCGCTCTAAAAATTCCCCATCTTCTACATCAAACTCAATGTTGTAATGGACAACTGGCAGGTGGCATACCTGTGATGTTGAAATTATTGTCTATTCAGTTATATAGTAAAATGTTTTTGTTTGTTTTAATGGGAGAATAATTTTGCATTTGGATACAGAGCTTGAAGTGTCATTAATACCTGATAGGTTTATTTCAAGCTGAACATCATCATTATCATCAGCTTACATAATCTCAAGCATCCTGACACAGCATAGAGTTTGAGGAGGCCAGGTCTCCAGTTCAATGCTGTCTTTTACATAAGCTTGAAGATGGCAGACAATGTGTACCAAAGATGCACCGACCCCACCTTGACTCTCAAAAATTGCAATTTTACCTGGCAATACTTGGTGATCCGTGGGGTGCTGGTGCAGGGATACTGCATGCCATTATTTTGTCCTTCATGAAACACTCAAGATTAAATGTGGAACATGTATTCTTGAAATGTGATGTGAGAATATTGTGGCAGCCCTGGATGCAGTTGCATTGCCAATTCATTAATATAATTTTCTTTGTTATTTAAGCAAATACACAAACTTTTGGAAACTTCTCACGATCTTAAATAATGATTAATAACTTATTAGTAAAAAGTGCTACATTTGGATTGTTTAACATTTATCATGAAAGTGATACAGACGAAAATAGATCTACATATCACAAACTCCATTACATACAACCTTACTTCAAGACGTATTGCCAGATAAAATTGCCAGTACTAGAGCATCTTTTTTGACTGTACATACTGTATCTAAAACTTCGGTGATAACTTCCAGCCTTAGTTTTGAAAATAAACACCCTAAGCAGTGAATAGCAAGAGAAAGAGTCAAATTCTTAACAATTCTATACTTACTCTGGAACAGTTCTACAAGAAATGCATCTTATAATTTTACATTCTTTAACTTGGAGGAATTTTCTCATACAATGAAGTTATAATGAAAGTACATATGATATGATATGATATGTAAATATGTGTAAGGAGTATTACTCAGCTAGGAAATAGTAGAGCAGTAAGCTATATTCAAGAAGCAATCTAGTGATACACCTGAACACCAAAGTGGGTCAATAATATTTCATAAGCCAAATAATTTTGGGGCAAACAGTACTCACTGATATGCCATGTTATATAATCATCACCCATGTAACATGCTTGTTAGCTTTTACTGTATTTACATTAGTCTAGTGCTCTAATGGATATTGGCTGCAGTTAGGCTGCCTATACCTTCCTTTCCTAACACAACTGATAGATATTTTTCATGCATGAGGAATTCATTTCAAGTCTGGCTTAATACTTCTAATGATCAGATCTAGACCCTCCTTGTTTCCAACTTAAAAAAAAAAATTCTGTGATTCTGGTTTCAAAAAAATTCCTCAAGTGCAGTTAAGTACAGTTTACTGTACCAAGTGTTATCTCAAAACATATATACTCTGACAGCTGTCCATACTAATACTGTATTACATTTCAAATATCACAAACCAAGTAAGGGGTTACTAAAGTATTGCACAAACAGAAAGAAAATTTTTTTTATACCATCACCAACAATAACTTCATGTTGGGGGTAAAGTATAAGCTAAATATGAAACAGAATTCCTAAAAGCAAAATTTATCAATACACAAAATAAAATTAAGGCATATGATATACTTTCTGAGTATGATGAAGGAACATACCTGGTGGTAATGGTTGCTGTGTATAAAAGGGTTGTTGTTGTTGAGGTGGCTGCTGTTGACCAAAGCCAGAACCCCACTGAGTGGGTGCTGGTCCACTGAAGCCTGGGTTTTGGTAGGTCATGGCTGGCATAGTGGGCTGCAACAATATATGCCAAGTCATCAATGTCAACTAAGTTATTTTGCTAAAAATTAAATACAGTACAGTGGACTTTTTTGTTATTGTATTGGCTTGGCTGGGACCAAGCAGTTGCCAGATATTCCAGTTTTTATAATAGTTATGTGTATGGGGGTCCCAAATTGCTAACCTAAAAATCACTACATGTTAGCCTAACATACTACGCCCACCACTGGGCAGTGAAGTCTTATTATAATCCAATACATGTGCAAAAGGACAATAGATTTGTCACTGTAATGGCTGGACATGCATCACTACATGCTTAAGGACTGGAAAATAATGGTTGGGTAGGAGTGCAGGCAACTGCAGCACCAGGCAATGCCATGAACTACTACCCGAAATTCTAAATTTTGCGAATTTTGCTGCATTTAAAAATTTGTGAGAGCATTTTTAAATTGTATAAGTTTTTGGAGAATACTGGAATACAGGCTGTTGGATTACTAAAGCTCCACTATAAAGTTTCTACCTTATATGGTACAGTGAACCCTCGAAGATTCGGACTAAAAGGTGGGACCACCTGTCCGGAAAAGCCGATTGTCTGTATCTTCCAGAGAATGTACTAAATGTATAAAAACAATAAATAATGATACAGGGGGCCCCCCAAATTAGCGGATTTTTATTTAGCAGTTCTCTATTAATCGCGGATGACACCCTGGATGTACCCAAGAATGTTTGCAGGTACAGTAGTTTTAAAGTTACCGACATTTTTGCGCCTGGGACAAGGAGCCATTAGTTCTAGAGACATTAATTTCTTTTACCTGTATTGTAAATATGTGTGTGTGTGTGTGTGTGTGTGTAGACACACACAGCGCCACCCCCCCCCCTTCCCCAAAGAGTCGCCTCACTGTTTGCCTAAAGTACTGACTCATTCATGATACAATAATGTTTACTGTATTTATTTTTCATTAATTAGAACAGATACATTACTGTAATAATCTGTGCTTATTAATACATGTAACTTTCATACACAATACAGTATAGTAGTATATGCCTCTTAGGTAAAAAATAATGCCATTCAAGGTATATTCAGGTCATAAGACCCACTAATGCCCCACCCAACACTGAGTGACCTGACGTTGCATTAGGTCAGGTTAGTAACATGACCCAATTATCTCCCACCCAACCTTCATCACAAGTGTTAAGACATGATTAGTTATGTATAACAGTCAATTGAGTGAAGTGTGTTACATAGACGTGATGATCGCCCAAGAGACTAACGAGCCGATCAGTGGTGAAGATAAAAGAAACAGTTCTGTTCACGCCTGTATCATATAGAGCTTTTGTTGTTTTTAATATATTTATTTAACCAAACTTTTAGATAAAATATTCAGAATAATTTTGATAAAAAAATGGTGTCTAACAAAATTAAAACTGATTTTACTGACTCCAGTATCAACATTTCTTACATTTTTTTATATATAAGAATAGAATTCTCATCACTAAATCATGTAGAAATATTTTGTTTAAGGATATCTTAAAAAGAAACGTTTGGTAGAACATTTATTCAGGATCATTATGGTATCAAGTTCATCTCCCTATCACAATTAGCTACACTTGAGTGAAGAAGAGTGAAGAAGAGGAAGAGGAGGAGGAGGAGGGGGGGGGGAGACTGACCACGCGAACCAACCCCACATAAAGGTTCACTTCCGTCAACACACACCAACACCACCTACACATCACACATACACCCCTAAATCACACACAAACACACCCTCTAGCAACCACACACACCCTCCAACAACCACAAACACACACCCACCCAACACCACTCACACACCCTAACACCACTCACACACCCCCAGCAAGGGAATTAAGACATATCTGTGTGTGCGTGACTGTATGGTAGTAAGTTAAATATCAGCTGTTGAGGAGCACTTGGCAACACTCATTTCCACTCCATCTCTCCACCCATGCCTTTCTGCTTTCTCACTCCATATTTTAAAATGTTATGTAACAAAATGTTGAAGGGATACAACTTTGCTCATTTATACTTATATCTGTAATTACCACAATCTCTTTAAAAATATTTTAGGTTTCGTGTTTATTCAAGGCGTCTTCAGGTCATTAGACCCACTGATCCTTCACCCCAAGAAAAAGTAACCTAACATTCTATCAGATCAGTAATATTAGACCACTAATCCCCCATCCTACCTCCACCTGACATTGCATCAGGTCAGATTAGTTACACAAGACCCACTAATCCCTACAGCTCCATGGGAGTGGAAAATAACATTCTTTGCTGTAACACACAGCTTCATTCATGCCCATATCCTTTAGATTTTTAATTTTTAAATATCTGTATTTACTTAACCAAACTTTTAGATAAACTATTCTGGATTATTATAGTAAAGAAATTAAGTTTTTAACTTAACTAAAACTACTTACGGATTCCAGTAATTTAGACTCAAGGAAAATATCTCCAGCTCCCAGAAACGTTCTGGGGAAGTGGGCTAGTCTGTGTGTCTGTGCAAGAGGTCTAGTTTAGACACTCGGAAACTTTTCCGAGTAACCGGAAAAGGTTCCGGGGATAAAGAATTTTTCCGGGTTTGAGAAAGTCGTCTTGTTACCCAGAAGTGCTCTGCACCAATTGTTCCGGCTAATGGACATATCACTGAATCAATTTACACCTTAAGAAATAAATAAAATATGCTAGTTCCATTCCCTAGCCTCCCTTTGCCCCATAAAATACATTACATATACAGGTGCTCCTCCACTTAAGAACGTTCAACTTACAAACTTTCAGAGATACAAACATCATCACCGAAGGGGGTTACCTGCCAGAACTGGTGTTTAATGTGGATGAGACTGGATTATTTTGAAGAAAATTCCAGACAGAACAAAAATTACCTAAGAGGAGAAGAGTGAGGCAGGTTTTAAGGCTGCATTAAAGGGTATAGCTGTATTAAATATCCATAATCTTTTCATTTTTTACAATATGTTTGGTATCTACAAGAGTAAAGTTGGACTTTTTACAAACAAGTCTCAGGAACGTAACTCGTTCGTAAGTAGAGAAGCACCTGTACATCCAAAAAGATAAATAAACTAAATTAATGTTTAATTAATAAGATAATACAATCTTTTGTTTTGTACTCATTGATGGCCAGAGCTGGAGCGAGTGTGTGGTGGGGTAGTGGATAGGAGGAGTATAGTATGCACTGTTGTGGGGGTTAGGCCTAACGCTACACCAATGTCCACAGCACGTTAACCTTTCTCAAAATGGTTTAAAACCACAATTTTCGTAGCAAGGCTAATTGGTCTTGTGTTGCTTCTTCACAACACTAGCATCACTAACACTTGATGGACACTTGAGAGCCATTTCAAATGGTTACTGTACAGTATTTATTGCAAAAATACTGAAGCACGCATGTACGCTGTGGAAGCTTAACAAAGACTGGTGAAAAACGCTTGGGGAAGCTGTGACGCTCAGCGAGAGAGCGTAGCGTGCCAAGATGAGAGAGGGTGGTGCGCCATACAAAGTAGTCCGTGTTGGGTGACAACGTTATAACGAATCAGTTGGGTCGTAAAACAACTTTGTCAGAATCATGGGTATCTAAAGAATAGCAATGTTAAGCGAGGCCTTACTGTATAAACTATAGATTGGTAATACAGGGGGCCCCCAAAATTTGCAGGGGTTAGTATCTCAAAATGGCCGTGAATTGCCAAATCCGCGAATAACATTTGCAGACTGGGGGGGTACATTTTTACTTGTATACAAAAAGATGTACATTCCCTTTATGTGTTTGCCCTTTGGACAATTATTTCTTTTACCTGTATTGTATATATATATGTGTGTGTGTGTGTGTGTGTGTGCTGTTCAGCATGAATGTCACTTACTTATAATCAATGTGTACTCCAAAAAAATTCAGTGAAAACATGTTTTGTGGGATTTTAAGACATTGTTGTAAAGTCCCTTTCTTGGGGAAATGTAGCTCAGCTTATATAATGGAATTCTATGGAAAAATGTGATCTGACTGATGAAAGGTTTATCTGGAACGAAACTCTTTCATAAATCTGGAAGTGCCTGTATTCTGTATACAAACCTACCAAATATTAAGATACATTATTCAAATATGCATCTATACACTACATATTGACTGGGATAGTCACTCACACTGAGTCTATGATGTTCCAACTTGCATATGGTCAATAGTGGACAATGTTCCCATTACTGGATCTTACTGGCTGAGTCAGCTAACTATACCGGACAGAGATGTCCAATATTACGAATATCTGGTAATATGTCAAGAAATATATTTTTGAGAGGGTTTACTGTACTTAAATCAATTTTTATATTAATACAGGTTGTACCTCTCTAGTCCGGCAACCTCGGGACCTGACCGGTGTCGGACCATGGAAATTGCCGGACCATGGAAATTCACCCTTTTCCTGGATAGATAGTGACTTGTGCTTATGCCTGGAAGCACTAGCACCACTTTCTCTGCGTCATGGTCTCTTTGAAGACATATTGAAGGGTTAAATGTCGTATAGTAGCTTCTCAAATTTCGCGAGTTTTTAATTCTTAACGTATTTTATTGGAACACAAAAAAATAAATAAATAAAAATTTTGACGGCGGAAACTTGAATTTCGACGGGTTTGAACGGCCCGCCAACGTGCAGACGACGTGCATAATCGTGTAAACAGCGTCATTTCTCTTATGTACAAAAGATTCATTGTTGTTTATTACTGAATGTCTTTTTTATTGAATTAATGTTTATGTGTGCAAAATGAGCAATAGAATTCATTAATAATACGTAGAATATTAAAACACACGAGGAAATGACACAGCATTGTTTTCGTTGATTACAAAACCAGTGACTGACTGGTTCTACATATAAAACTGAAGAAAATAAGACCTTGGTTGTAGCTGTAGTAAAATTAATATGGTTGTTTTAAGTAATGTTATTTAATGTTAATAAATGGAACAATAGAAGTAGCTAACGATAATGGTAAAGAAAAAGAGAGATCGCATATGTAAGTGCGCATGCGCACACGTGAAAACATATCGTCATTACTTTACATAAGAATATGAAAGCAACACTTATTTACTGTTCATATATATTTTAATTAATGTTTCTGAATTTGTTTTTATTGAATTAATGTACGTGTGTGCAAAATTAACAATACAATTTATTAATAATACGTGGAATATTAGAGGAGACGAGACGGCTGCCGGCATTGTTTATGTTAAAGCTTACGAAACCAGTGACTGATTGGTTCTACATATAAAACTGAAGAAAATAAGACCCTGAGTTTAGCTGTAGTAAAATTAATGTAAAAAATGAATATGGTTGCTTGAAGTACCTGTAATGTTATTTAATGTTAATAAATGGAACAATATAAGTAGCTAACCATTAATGGTAAAAAAAAAAGTGAGACTGCTCGTATGTAAGTGCGCACATGTGAAAATATATCGTCATTACTCTACATAAGAATATGAAAGCAACACTTATTTACTGCTCATATATATTGAAGGGTTAAATGTTGTACTCTGTATAGACAAGCAGAGAGAGAGAGAGCAGCCGAACTGCCGGATGTAAACAAACCTTAATTTCCCGCGGCTTTTTTTTTTTTAAGGGGATTAGCCCACCCGGGCATAGGTCACTGACCCACATTGGGGCCTGAGGGGCAAAAATTTAATACTCCTGTAATAATAATAATAATTCAGATAAAAAAAAAAAAAAAAAAAAAAAACTGCCTATCTACCTATTGGACAAACTAAAATCGTTCCGGACCACGGGAGTTTCCGGACCACAGAATGCCGGACTAGAGAGGTACAACCTGTATACCTATATAATGGACAAGTGAAGACTGATGATATATAGCATGCAAACAATATACAGTACTAATATATTTTACACTGGCCATGTTGTTGACACTGGGCACTTGTCTTGGTGCTCGCCGCCTGTTGCGTTGATTCTTGCCTCCACGTTTTGATGCTCCACGTGGTGACTGGTCAGATGTTGGGGTGTCTGGAGCCTTCACTTCCTCTTTCACTTGCTGAGGAAAATTAAAATAAAATCGTGTAACAGCAAGTGATGGCAAATATTTATTAAGTGAAGACTCCTTAATCACCTCATTATGTTATGGAAATATTAAAACAAGACACTGTTGGCTTCCAAAGAGGTTAAATTTTTACAGAACATATTGTTTATCATATCCAAGAAAACAGGAATTATTATCTTATACTTCTGTATAATTATTATACTTAAATTGTGTATACAAGACCATGATGTTTAGGTATCCAAAGTTCAAAATTTTCAAGAATTCGAACAGGGAGTGGTCTCAAGCAATTTGGATTTGGGAAGATAACTGCATTCAACTTTTTAATTTTGTTCAGATCCAATGCAATTTCAGTGAGGTTTAATAAATAGGAAACTATCTTATTGGGAAATTGTTTAATTAAAGTGAATGGCAAGATAATTGTTGACAGTGCTATTGATACAATTAGTTTAGCCTTGGTAGAGGATTGGAAGTAAAACTACATTTTGAGGTAACAATCTGGTCAATCAGGTTATCTGTAAGCCAGTATAACCATCACAACCTGGCTGATCAGGACTCCTATGAATGGACTGTTCATATTCCATTCTGAAGATACTACCAGTTTCCTTATGATGTTTCTAATGTCTGCTGGTATATAAAATATCATGGACTTACTTGCTTGTCAGGTACAGGTTCCAAATCTTCTGGGGGAAGTGGTGGTGGTTCAAGGTAGAAGGACACAGCCTTGGTAATTGTATGTGTGTGGAATCTACAGGAAGAAAAGGGGTATATAAATGAAGGTAATTAACATAGCTCACATATAAATTTGATGCATGCTTCATTAAAATCTTGGCCAAATATACCCAGAAAAAGAGTATAAATAAGATAAACATCTGTCTTGAAGTTTTTCTGAGATATTAACAGCAGAAATTGGATCAATCAGTTTCACAGGATACTGCTTTTTATAACTTACCCAGTGGATAGTGATACTTGTGCTGTATCAACAAGTCTATTGGATGACTCCCCAGGTTCCCCAAGGCTATATATTCCAGAAATGTAGATACTCCGTACATACGTACGTATACAGTCATGCACCAGATAACGTCCTAGAAACGTTCTTGGAAACGTGATGTTAATCGAAATGGATGCTGTCCGAAATTACAGAAACCTATGGGAATTAATCGAATTGGTTCCAGGCACCCAACCCCAAGTTTCCCATTTTATGACCATTAGACCCACTAAATATATATATAATGTTATGGTAAATATCATAAACACACATTAGCATGGCTAGGTTTATTACAAAGTGATGAAAAGGATACGATCAATACTGTACAGTGGGTAGTCCACAAAACATGTAGCTATGTCTCTCTTTATTTGAGTGCCCCGTCATAAGAGTCCGTTTTCTCTCACTTCAAGACGCTTGAGTCGTCTGTTTTCTCTTAATCATAGAGTGTAGTGCACCAGAGACTTCGTTATTCCTTAGTAATGACACAGAATTTGATATTGCAACTGGGGCTGCAATTGTTGAGGCAATTTAGATATGTCTGATTACAGTTGGAATATTCAAGATCCATTGTGAGTGATGTTTAAAGCTTCAACTGTCTTTATGGTTGGTAAAACTTGTCAAGTCTGTCAGTCTGAGTAGCATGTGTGAGTCCTTGTGTTTGTACAACCGCTTTCATTCAGACCCACTAAAGATATAATGTTATGGTAATTATGAGAAACACACATATGCATGACTAGGTTTATTACAAAGTGATGAAAAGGATACGTTCAATACTGTATAGTGGGTAGTCCACAAAACATGTAGCCATGACTCTTTATTTGAGTGCCCCGTCATAGGAGTCTGTTTTCTCTCACTTCAGGACGCCTGACTCGTCCGTTTTCTCTTAATCTTAGAGTGCAGTGCACCAAGGACTTCGTTATTCCTTAGTAATGACACAGAATTTGAAATTGCAACCCCAATTGCAATTGATGAGGCAACTATATAGGTCTGATTACAGTAAATGTGTTATTGTAAATTTGTAGGTGAAAGATTTTATCCTCAATAGATGTAGGTTAACATTACACCTGGAGCCAAATGCCTAAGGAAGGAAGGATATTCCTTTAACACATAATATCTGGCCTGTATGGGGAGGGTCATCGTGTCTCCGTCAGGGGGTCGTGGAGTGGTGGTCCAGCAGGCATACGGAAGTGTTTTTTTTTTGGGGGCACACGGGCGTATATATATCGATCGGGCGTTGTTAGGTTGGGCCGTTAACGGCGCATGACTGTACATTATAGTCTGGATATTTTTTGTTTACGTTTGGTCATTTACGCGGTGCCTTGCCGAATGAAATGTTTTAATTATGCGGTAAATTTCATCATTTACGCGGGAAGCGGCGCAGGCAGAGTCGCTGGGGTGCCCAGTCATCAAAACATTACCGAGTTTTTCACCCGCCACCCACCACAGCCAGCCCAAGTCAGTGATAGTGAGGATATGGACTTTGAGGGGTTTGACAAAGAGGCCCTGCAAGCCTCTGTGGTGGATAGTGATACAATTGATACAAGTGATACAGGTGAGGGTCAATAATCTGCCCTCTGCCTCGAACCAACCCCCCATCCCCGTGTGCCCAGCAATCTTATCTACTAACGTAAGTGTTAAAAAACCTAATATTATTGATATTTCTCTTAATTAGTAATTGTGTGTGCATACCATCATAAAATTAAGATGTTATTTTTACTACAACATGGGTATTGTGTCGGAAAAAGTTGAGTTTGGGTTTCGGGCCAGTCTCTATTGGAATTAATCCCTTATGTTCTGTTGTACACTTTACGTGGTTTTCACTTTCTTCAGTACCCCGTGGGTTCAATTGAACGTGTAAATCGGGGTACTACTGTATATATATATACAGTTTTACCCCGCCTAACGCGGTTTCACTTAACGCGTTTTCGCATATACGCGGTGCCTTGCCAAAGCTGAACTTTCACTTAACGCGGATTTTTTCCACATATACGCGGTGAGTGTCCGAGACGCTATTTTTAGATTTGCCCCACCCGCCACCCTGCCTGACTGCCTGTTTTAGCTCATAAAATTCATACAAATTACCAGGCCAGAATATAATTTACATTGCTGGAATTCTTATAATTTGGTGATCATTTTGAATATAAACATCATATATTTTGCTTTAAACTTACAATTTTTAGATAAAAAATTTTTTCTAGGTAACTATGGTATCTTTTGTGCAAAATATATGACATTTATATTCAAAATATTCCTGGTCTTACAAGGAATCCAGCAATGTCAATTATATTATCCTAACTTTAGTTTGAGGTATTATTTATTAAAATTTAGTGGTTATCCCACACATCTCCTTGGGACGGTTGGTGGGGGGTGGGGGGTGGGGGGGAGGGAGGGACCGACCGACCGACCATCTGTTACCCCGTGAAGAATTATTATTTTTTTATTAACTGAAGATATTTGTTTTAGCTCATAAAATTCATACAAATTACCCAGTCAGAATATAATTTACATTGCTGGAATTCTTATAATTTGGTGATCATTTTGAATATAAACAACATATATTTTGCATTAAACATACAATTTTTAGATAAAAATTGTTCTCTAGGTAACTATGTTATCTTTTGTCCAAAATATATGACATTTATATTCAAAATATTCCTGGTCTTACAAGGAATCCAGCAATGTCAATTATATTATCCTAACTTTAATCTGAGGTATTATTTAATACTAAATGTTAAAAACTCTGGAAGGGAGGATTGGTGGGGGGTGGGGGGAGGGTTGGGACTGACCGCGCGGTTGGAAGAGGGGGGGAGGCAAGGTGGGGTACTTTGATTGACAGATAGTGTCGTGAAGATTATTTTTTTTTTATTAACTGAAGATATTTGTTTTAGCTCATAAAATTCATACAAATTACCCGGTCAGAATATAATTTACATTGCTGGAATTCTTATAATTTGGTGATCATTTTGAATATAAACATCATATATTTTGCTTTAAACTTACAATTTTTAGATAAAAATTTTTCTCTAGGTAACTGTTATCTTTTGTCCAAAATATATGACATTTATATTCAAAATATTCCTGGTCTTACAAGGAATCCAGCCATGTCAATTATATTTTCCTAACTTTAGTTTGAGGTTATCCCACACATCTCCTTGGGGCGGTTGGTGGGGGGTGGGGGTGGGGGGGAGGGAGGGACCGACCGACCATCTGTTAGCCGGCTGTGTAGTGTGAGAGGGGGAGGGAGTTGAGTCCATTATTTGAATGGACATTAACTTGGCGACTGTATTTCTCTATTTCTCTTAAGTATTAATTGTGTGCATGTACCATCATAAAATTAAGATGTTATTTTTACTACAACATAGGTATGTGCCTTCAAAAAGTGGAGTTTGGGGGTCGGGCCGGTTTCTATTGGAATTAATCCCATATGTTCTGTTGTTCACTTAACGCGGATTTCACTTAACGCGGGACCCTCTGGGTTCAATTGGCCGCGTTAAGTGGGGAATTTAACTGTGTGTGTATATATATATATATATATATATATATATATATATATATATATATAACTATATATATATATATATATATATATATATATATATATATATATATATATATATATATATATATATATATATATATATATATATATATATATATATATATATATATATATATATATATATATATATATATATATATATATATATATATATATATATATATATATATATATATACAGTATACAGTGGGGTATGCTATAACGAATCTAATTGGTTCTAGAACCTTGTTCGTTATAGCATTTGTTCGTTATAGGATTAATCCGTTCCAGGCCCCCAAATACAACCACTTAACACTGAAAAATATTATATAAAATTGTAAAAATTGTAAAAAAGTGCATACATATGCATCTAAACCCCTGAAATAAAGAATATCATTAATACTTGTAATAAAAATCAATAAATTAGGGAAAAAAAATTTAAATAATGTTCGTTGTAGGATTTTCATTCGTTATAGCATTCTCAATTTTATAGGTAAAACCGTTTGTTATAGGAATATTCGTAGTAGGATCCGTTCGTTATAGCATACCCCACTGTATATATATATATATATATATATATATATATATATATATATATATATATATATATATATATATATATATATATATATATATATATATTTGTGTGTGTGTGCAAGTAAATCACTGTAGTTGCGCATGATCCAGGTATATGCTGATAACCACAAGGAAAGAAGAAAACACGAAGTTCCCAAGCGCCTTCGTGTAATTCACATCTTCAGGGGTGAGTACAGACTAAGGAGAAGTACAAAACAAGGTGTATATATACAGAGGAGGGTGAGATCAAGTCCACAATGGTCAGTTATTAGGTAATGACCCTACTAATCTTTAAAAAACACCGCAACAGTCGGTAGTCAGGTCAGAGGGTAAGGTGACCCAACCTTCTCACCTGGTTACAAATCTTCTTAATTACAAAATTGTCCAGTTTGTACATGCCATTACTCAAATTCATGTTGACTGCTTCGGTATGTTTTATGAGACTAGATTCTATGATGATCCTACTGTCAATTGAATTACAAGGTAATAATGAGGAGGCATTATCCCAGTCAATACAATGCTTATTATCCCTCAGATGAACAAACAGAGCATTGGATTCCTGGCCTGTCCTAGCACTGTATTTATGTTGTTTAAGTCTAGTTACAAGATCTTTACCTGTCTGGCCTAAGTAAAACATATTACATTC